GGGCAAGGCCAGGTCAACCCCTGCGCCTGCCTCGCTGTTCTGCAGAGGCTGCCTGACGGCGGTCTGACCCGTCTGGGTGATCGACACAGCCTGCGTGCTTTTCCTTCTGAACCGGGCCTGCGTGGTTCCCATCCCGTATTTTCACTCTCTCTTTCTGTAAGCCCACCTCACCGAACCACAGAGGAGTCCCTCCTGTACTTTCCTGTGAAGCAGTTTGAGACTGCTTGTCCCCCTCCCCAGAAGGTAAGAACCCGGCGCACGGGCTGTAAGTCTGTAAAGCTGTTGGCACTGTTCGCCGGTGTGTGGCAAATAAAGTTGGGCAGGCTGAGCCTTTTGGACCAAATCTGTTAATTATCGGGCAGCTTGGTCACGGTAAGCTTGCTGAATGAGCCTGCGAGTCAGGTGAGTCCTGGTAAGGGTAACCAGCTAGATGCACTGAGGAGAATCTGCCTGATGTAAATTTGCCTCTTTTCATGAGACTTCAAGAAGATGGTGAGGTGGAAGGGTTCTTATCAGAGCATTGATAAAAGAATGGAAAAGGACAGACAACTGCAGTTGGATTGTCCACCTGTACTGTTAGGAGGATTTTTGGGAGAGAAGAGAAGCAGCCCCTAAACTAGGGGTAAGGGATTATGGTGTAGGGAGAGAAAAAGAGAAGGGCAAAGTCTAGTGACATCAGTATCTAAGAGCTTTGTCACAGTGGGGTCTGGACTCTCCCCTTGGGTTTGAAGGAAGTGGGAAGAGAGAAGGGAAAAGAAAGTAGGCTCAGAGGGATATAGGAAGGTACGGTATGATCTTTGTGTGGTGGTAAAGCAGAAGCGGCAAAAAATGCAACAAAACCTGGAGAATGCCAGTGAATGAGTTGCCCTTAAGTCCCTGGTAGGTGAATGCTGTGTTGCCACTAAATTTAATAGTTAATATATGTACAGAGTTTTCTGTTCCTTCTCATGACAGGAATGTGATTTGCATGAAGCTTGGCCTTGGGAGATGTGGTAAATGAGGTATAGAGCATCGTGGTTGCTAGTTCTTGGCTATCTAAGTACAGAACGCATTTTTCTACCCTCAATAAAAGAAATTTTTGCCAAAAGCCATATTCCCTTGAAAGTTGCGATTAGAAAAAAGAAGCGAAATGTGAAAAATTTATCTCCAACTCAGGCATTCAGTGAGGCAGGAATAACGTAGAAGCTAAGACGGTACAAATCTCACGGTAGTTCCACATGTATTTTTTTCTCTTATTCTGCCCTGGAGAGACTGTAGAGCTAAGGAAATTAAATGAAACTGCTGTGTGAAAACAGGAGGGGCAAGCAGGTTTAAAACGGCAAATGGGTGTAATGTTATTGTGAATAAAGGAGAGAAGAGGAAGAGAAAAACTGGAAAATTATATTTAGCATCATGGCAGTCTTTATAAGGCTTTATTTTGGAGGGGGATCCTCTTAATGAAAGAAAGTTTAGTAATGTAACTTCAGAGATGGGGAAAAATGTGCTGTTGACTGATGAAGACCATACTTTGCAGACTCATTTTTGTCAGCCCCAGATAATTAATAAAATCTGGAATTACTGAAAGTCCTATTACTATCCTAGAGATAAAATATGAGATGGGGGCGCTGTCTGTGTGGAGCAGACTGAAGTATTTAATTTTTTGAGCAGTGCACTTACTGTGTGTTGTTACTTCTGCTTCGCAGATCTCCAGCATGCAAGCTAAAACGAGTGAAGATCATACGAAAGTCCATAAAATGAAGAAGAAGGTATTGAGGAAGCAGGTCAGAGCTCAGCATACGTTGATGAGACATGAGGGCATTGAGTGCATCTCCCATGCCTCACAGGTGACTGGCAGTTCTGATTTTGCTAGTAGTGTGAAAATGCTGCTTATCTCTGTTCTGTTCTCACATATGCTCTGTCTAAAATGCAGTTCTCCAAAATGTGCTTCCTGAGATGGAGGGTTTTCTGCATCTCTTTGATTTCAAATCAGAACTGTGATTCAGCAATTTAATGTATGTGGAGAGACTTTCATGGCCTTTGGATAAGTTGTTTTTAGTCTGAAACAGTAGTTCTTGGGTTGGGCAGGAGTAGGAAGCATGGGGAATGTTACCTTGTTGAAGTAGATAAAATTCTCTTTCGCTGTGTGATTTCTTTAGCTTTTAGCTTTTGTTTCTCTTTCCTCTATCTTCTCTATCAAGTACAATTTGTCTCATCTAAACTCCCTGTTAAAAACATGTCTGTCTTAAAAATCTTTTCCACATTGTTTTCTTCACCTGAATTGATTTAGACTGTGGTCCTGTGAGAGTTGAACTGATTGACTGACTTAAAGGTGTTGAAAAGGAGACAACTTTCCCTTCCCTTGTACAAAAGGGGACAAGATAGGAGGGAATTCTGCTTTCTTACGAAGTTCAATGAACTTCACTATAAGCCCCTTTGTTCCCTAATCTAACAGAAAAGTACTCAGCTTTTTGATCATTAGTTTTCTTCTACAGTATAGAGTTACAGCAGATCAGAGTGTGGCATCGCAGATACTGGTGTGGCAAAAAGTAAGTGACAGGAACTTGCAGACAGAAAGAGAGGAAGGTACAGTTCATAATTCTCCTCAGTAAGTTGTGGGGACGTGCTAATGGCTTGAAACACTGAAGAGCAGTATCATTTACTTTACCCTTGTTAATCTTGATCCTGCACATTCTTCCCATTCAAATGTGGAAGCACTGGTTAGATCTTTATACTTTTTTCTAACAAAATAGGGCTTAGTCTTCGCTTAGTTTTCACCATGTGGGTATATGCTAAAATGACCCGGCAATCTTGTATGTAGTGTAAGCTCTTTGGAGCAGGGACTGTGTTGTTCTAGTGTTGCTTGGAAATGGGTTCATAATCTGGGATATTTTTTCCCCCTCAACACTGCCCTAGATACCAAATTATCCATCTAATCTATCCAAAGAGTATTTTCTGGGTCCAGCAAGATTATCATCAATGACAAAACATTTCAATAAGTGATATATGAAACAAAACCACAGTGCTGGTGATAAACTTATGTTAAGAATACACAAAAAGCTTTCAGGCTTTGTGTGAAAGACTGGTTATATTGAAATTGCTTAGTCAGGAGAACGTGATCAGTTGCTGTACATGCTGCCGTCGTGTGGTGATGGTCTTTGTAGATGAAGTGCCTACAGCAAGTGAAAAGCACTGGTCTGAGTCTCTGCATTTCCTCTACCCACATGGGCATCCCTATTAATAACATTCTACAAAATAACAACAATTAATAATGTGATCACCTTTGAAAAACGTGACCAGTAATGCACAGCCTGATGCAGTGCTAAGAACAAGTGTTAACAGAGCCATCGCAATAGGTGTAATCAAAGCAGTACCTCAGGCACGCTCACTAGATAAAATTTTTTTTTTTATAATCATTCTCTTCAGTTTTAAACCTAATCTGGTGTCTTTTAGAGAAGTAAAATGCTATAATTTTGTAACAATTGAACAATTTACCAGATGCCTTCAGAAAACGTCGTAGAACATTTACAGACTTTAAGGAAAAGATTGTCTGAAAGCTTTCTAGAAAGGTATTACATGGAGTCAATCCAAGTAAGTTGTTGCTAGCTGTTTGGAGTCACCAGAGCTCAGTCAAAACTTCAAGACTGCATCCTCACTTAGCCTTAAAAAGGGACATAAACTTTTTTCAACCACCATGATTAGACTGACCATCCAGTTATGCTATATAGCTATTTAGATGTCAAAAGAACTTCTTTATTTTGAAAAGGCCTATGTGTTTTCAAAGGATATTTCTTGAATAATACTCCTTTGAAAAGTTTTGTTTTGTTGTTTCTTCTGTTAGTTGGCAAGTCAGCAACAGTCGTCACAAATTGCATACTCCTTGATAATTTTGGACATAGATTGCTATGAAAATATAGAATTAAGCAGATATTGTGCATGAAGTAATCCGTGTTACCTAAGGATGGGGCATACATCCATTCTGTTTATAAATACAAGAGGGGGGAATTTTCAGGTAAGAGTTCTGGCACAGAACTAGATGCTTTCTTTGTAGAGGCTATCGCTTTTTTTTGGTGAACCTGATGTATGTGGAGATGTGAAGTGGGAGTGGGAATATCAGTCGATACTTTGAGACTCCTTGGCAGAGATGAGAAAACCTGTCTTAAAAAATAATCAAGGTCTTCAAAGGTTTTTCTGTTTGCTTTTGTTAGTGGTAGGAGGTCTCCGGAAAAAATCCATTTTAGAAGCCTCCAGAATTTTGTGTGCCAGTGTTGCTGGTTGCCTGCAGTACACTTGATGCACGCAGGCTGGTTTGAAGCTGAAATGCTTCAGTAACTACACACTATGGAGGAGGTATCTCTAGAGGTTGCAAGCTTTTCTGCCAGAATATGTGTTGGGTGAACAAAGGTTGCCTGAGCCTCATAATACCAAGCTCAGTGAAATGTAAATATCTTGCATGGAGTACGTAAAAGAGTAGTCATGGGCTTCCTTAATTTTTCTTTATAGAGCTGTTCTCTTGGTAGAGTGTTAGTTTTAAATGAATCAACAATCATCACTAATTTTCCATTTCTTTTTTTTTAAATTACTCCTCAATTAGAGCCTGGTTATTGCCAATGGTGGTCTCGGTAATGGGATGAGTAGGCACCAACTGCTCGGGATAGTAGAAGAATATGGGTTGGTGGAAACACTCTTAATGCCACCGAATAAGCCATATTCATTTGTGAAATATGGGACAACAGAAGAAGCCAAGAAAGCCTTTGATGCCCTTAATGGAAAAGAAGTAACACTGGAAGATGTTGGCCAAAACATTGTTCTATATATTAATTTTGTGGAAAAAGGTACAGTTTTTCTGCTTTCCTATATATCTTAACTACCTCTGTACTGCTTCCCTTTGCTTTTACTTTCTAGGTTGTAAAAATAGCTAAGAGCACGCTAGTCTGTGTAAGTAGACACAGAGGATGAAAGCCAGAATATAAGATTCAGGACATAAAATAATCTTTGCTCCTTGTACTTCATGATAGGATACTCTAATTTGAACTTCTTTACTTAGAGGCAAAAGGGAAAAGGATTTAGGTAGTTTCCAGATCATTCAGTGCTGCACATGAAGGTTTTGTGATGAAGGGGTTAAACTGGGACCCAGGAAACTCTGGACATTTCATTGGATTTCTTATGTGACTTTAGTCTTGTGATCTCTATTTCGGAAGTAAAAAGATTTCAGGCTTTGCCCCACCCCTTCTCACCAGGCTTTTTTTTATGGCTGACTGTAAGCTATTTAGTACAGGAACTGTTGTTCTCTCTATGAGCTTTTATAGTGTCTAGTGAAAAGGGTTCCTGCTGTTGGTCTGTACATTCTGCAGTGAATAGCTTTTTTTTTAAAAAACTATTAGGATAGCAGACTGACTGTCCCTGCATCACCAATATTTGGTGTTCACCTAGGTACTGCATTATATTCCTCCATATTTGGTTACAGATTGCTTCTCTGAACAGAGAATAATCTGGTGATTTGGTAAATCACCAAAGTTCTGGAAAACTAAAATGAAATGCAGGTAGAATCCTGAAGTGATTGGGGAATTCTTTTTACCATTATTTTGACAGGAAAATCACAATTGGTTTTGCATTTGAATAGTGTGAAGTCTTCTTGGTCTTACGCAGTAAAATTTTTCTTTGCATGATGCAAAACTTGGATCTTATCCTGTTTTGTCATGCCAAAAATGGATTATTCATACACCAATAAGACCCCAATGAAGTCTCCATTGTAGCATTAAAGTAAATATTTCTACAGCTATACTATATTCTCATACCTATTACATATCACTGTAGGGAACACATGGTTTTATTTTCTCTAAGCAGTGACAATATCCTCTTTCTCCATACACCCTAGTTTTCTGGCAGAATGCTGTTCCTACAAGCTTGCCTCCAGGCCTAATGGTCATTGAAAAGATTATTTCTCCAGAAGAAGAAAGGAGGATGTTGGAAAGTATTGACTGGATAGGAGAAGAAGATACTCGAAATGGTGGGCAAAATGATAGAAATCCAGACCTTCCATACTTTTATGCTGTGTTTTCCTACAGTTTCAGTTTACAAGAAGTCTACATCTTGGTACATGTATTGTTTGAAGTCATTGCGTGATTGTTCTTAGTGTTTTCAAAATGGAGTCATATATTGCAAGTGATAAACTCTTGAGAACAAGTGGTCTGAATTGCTATTCAGGTATAGATTTAATTAAATAATATTCCTGCATACAGAAACAACTGAAGTGTTTTTTAGGTGTCTTATGCCAAGCCAAGACTGTTCTGTAGCGGTTACGCTTGTAGTTTGATGTCCAGCTGAGAAGCTGTGTCTTCTCTTAAACCAAAAAGAAGTCAGTGAGACACACATTGTGGCTGCTTTTGTGCTTTCCCCTGAGCTCTGTGGAGTTAAATCTCTTAAATGAATCATTCTTGGAATTCACTTCAAAGTTTCTGTGCAGATTTTGTTCCTTGGAACAACACAAAGGGCTATATTGACCTTAGTTAACATGTAACTTGGTAATTGGTGAAAGTGAAGGGCTGTGCTGTATCCATAGGATATTAATCGAGTGCAAGTTCAGAGATCAGGGCAAGGATAAAGATGCATTAAGCATGGCTCAATAAAATTGGTACCCCCTACTTCTTGCATATACAAAACCACCATCACTTTGACTTCAAACAGCAGTGGATATGATACTTGATGAAATACAAAAGGTAATAAGGCAGAAGTGTGTGCCATGAAGGAAAAGGGTCACGTACATGGTTTCAGCTGTTAATGAAAGACTGTTTAAGAGGTCAGATGGAATAGGGAAGCATAGTAAGTTGCCTATACTGTTTTATATAGTCTAATCTTACTTTAAACTTGCGTGTTTTTACAGCCCAGAAGACTTTAAAGCATAGAAGAGTAAAACATTTTGGATATGAGTTTTGCTATGATAACAACAACGTTGATAAAGACAAACCTTTACCTGGAGGTGAGAACTTCCCTATTAAGTCATGCATAATTTGCACTGATGTTTGAACTGTTATGTAAAGACTTTAAGCTTCACTGAGATATGAATGTGAGATTCTAATTAGAGGGGAGATTCTAATACAATGAGAGCCTTCACTGTATCTTAACCACACATTGAAGGCTGCTGTTGAAGGAGATCCATTCCAAATTACTGAGTGCTGGAAGCTTGTATTCCAGTCACCTGCAGCCAGGGGTTGCTGCCCTTTGAGGTCCCATCAAATAAGGCTTTTAGGATTCTAATTGTCATTCTTTTTTAGCTTTAGTTTCATACAACAATTGTGTGTTACAAATTACATATTCATTTGTTTAGGGGCTGTGACGTATATTGCTGTGTATATTTATCTTGACTAGCTTAAAGCTTGCTGGATGCACACAAAAATAAAATTTTCTTTGGACTGAGAGCAATTTTGGAAAGGTTTGAGTAACTCTTGTTTGGAGTTGAGAGCTATGAGTCAGAGCAAAGCAAGTGAGTCATCTTATAGTCTTAAGTTTAAACATAGTAAAATAGGGGAGTTAAATTCCGATAGAACTTGAAGGTGTGCACGTGTACTGGGGTGGATGTAGCTTCCAACAGAAGAATTCTGGTTACACTGCGGTTTTAACAGCGAAGCTATATAATCATAAGGGCATTGATATTTGAGCTGGTCTTAGTCTCCCAGCTAGACTATTTTATGTGTGAGAAAAGCATAAACACTTCATTGAGGGAGAACAATTAAAAATCAATAGATTCATGGAAAGGCTATTACTGACATGTTTCTCCAACAGAATTTTGCAATGAAGTCCTCAGGTAAAATATCAAACTAAAGATTCAGTGAAGGACTGTAACTTTCATTCGGGTTTCAAACCAGTTTAACTTCAGCAGATTTTTTTTCAGTGATGTGTAATCTAATTCGGTAACAGATTTTTAGGGGATAAATTTTCAGAGCGCGCTCTGCACAACTTCTGACTCTCTGCATAATAGTTTTGCTTCTTGACTGCATTTTTTTTTTTACTGTAGTTGATGGAAACTTTGCCTCTGGTTTGGTATGCTTTTATTTATGTGTAGAGATCGTGCAGTTTGCATTTGTAAGGAGTGATCGGTTTCTGAATGCAGAGGCCTTGGAGCAACAGCCTTTATAATTGCGAGATGTTATAAATGTATCGGACTTGCAGATCAGACCCCCAGTTTTAATGTGTGTGTTACAACAAATCCAGAGTGATCAATATTAAAGATGGACTTGCATATCTATGAAGTTGTTTCTGTGTATTTTGTCCAGTTATTATATCGTAAAAAGAAAGGATAGCTTTTTACATTTTTATCCTATCTTGCTTACAGTTTTGTTTCTATAACTAGGTCTTCCTGAAATTTGCGACATATTCTTAGAGAAGTGCTTGAAGCAGGGATATATCAAACATAAACCTGATCAACTGACTGTAAATCAGTATGAACCTGGACAAGGTAGGTTTATTGGTCCTTCAAAAATTTTGAGCTCTTTACCTTACATTGTGATTTAACCCTGGTAGGCAGCTAAGCCCCACACAGCCACTTGCTCACTCCCTCTTACTGAGGTAAGGGAGAGAATCAGAAGGATAGAAGTGAGAAAACTAGTAGGTTGAGATAAAGACAGTTTAATAAGGTTTGTTTTTTTTTAATAAAAAAGGAAAGAAACCAAAACAAAGAAAAAATGATGCAAAAAAAACCTAAAACAATTGCTCACTAGCAGCCAACCAATGCCCAGCCAGTCCCTGAGAAATGGCATCCCCAGTAAACTTCACTCCTAGTTGTATTGCTGGGCATGATGTCGTATGGTATGGAATATTCCTTTGGTCAGCTGTCCCAGCTGTGTCCCATCGCAACTTCTTGTGCACCCCCAGCCGACTTGCTGGCAGGTAAGCGTGAGAACCAGAAAGGACATTGATGCTGTCTAAGCACTGCTCAGCAGTAACAAGAACATTCCAGTATTATCAATGCTGTTTTTGTCACAAATCCAAAACATAACGCTATACAAGCTACCATGAAGAAAACTCTGTCCCAGCCAAAGCAGTACAACTTAACATCAGAAGAGAGTAGCATCGAAGTGTGACAAGGTGTAGGTTGATTTAAGCACCTGCTTAGTGTATTCCCTCTGTGACCAGAGGTGTTTTGAATCAAAGCTAGAGCTTTTATACTCATTTCTGAACCTCAGAACTTGTGTTTAGAAGTACAGCTTTTGATACCACTGTTATGGAAATTGATGGTGTTTCAGAGTCCAAGGCCATCACATGGAAACTAACCACAAAAAGATACAGAAATAAGTCATATTTGTTTTTGTAGTCAAGTGCATTTTTTTTTTTTTACTCCCAACTCTTCTTGCTCCCTGTAGAGTGCATACAGTCTCCAGAAAGTGGCTCTTACTGTTAGTACATATGATATAATGTTAGTGTGTGTGATATATGGACTCTTAAGTATGATGGAAGTAGTGTTCCCTTATCTGAGGAATAAGAAATTACTCTGTTTATCTGTAATCTTTCCCAAACTGGAGACATCTGAAGAGAAATTTGCTTCTAATCACAGCTCTAGGGAATAAATCATGTGCTGTGCTTTTTGCTAAGGTCAATCATCAAGGCTAAGTATGTGGCTTGCTTTCCAGAGTGGATATCTCTTTTGTCCTTAGGAAGAAAGGACAACAGCTTTTCTGTCAGAATTACTGACTGACAGCTAATAGAGTGTCTGCCAAACAAGGATCTGAAAAGCTAATGCTATTTGTTTATGTATCTGACAATCTGTTAAATTGATACAGTCATGTACTTCTGGCTGGGATATCAGAGGAGATTTGTCAGAATTGTAGATTTCTATCAAGAATAGAAGAATTAAAAAAAAGAAAAAAAGAAACAAAACAAAAACCAGAACACCAAAACAAACCCAAAGCAAAATACTCTCTTAAGTGTAAATTGTGAGGATATGAATGAGCGCAGATTGCATTCAGATTAATACCTTTAGTATCTGTGTGTTCCCAGCCAGACTGTCATTGGAAAATACACTTGAGATTTTAAGAAGTGACTGATGACTCTGGGTATCTAAGTTGTAGGGGCCACACTTAAGACATGTTAAATGAATTCCTTTTTGATGACACTTTTTTCATTCAAGGTCCTAATAATGTTTAAAGTTGTAGATTTATACTTGAAAGTTACCATCCACATTTTTGAATACTTGGGCCACTGTCTCTTCCTATGTGCTGCATATATGGAGTATTAAAAGCAGGTAGGTAGGTCAGAGTGGTCTTGCTTGAATTGTCTGGGTGATGCTGAAGAGATCAGTCGATGTTCTCCTATTGCACAGTGAATTGCATTGACTTCAGTGAGCATCTGATGACAGTTTTAGTGCTTGATACTGAGGCAAGTTATGAGCAGACACAAGCAGATATGTGTCGTTGGTTTTCAAGTCTCACTGATTTTCTGTCAGTTGAAATGTTGGCCTCATAAAACATTTGTATCTCTTTTGCTGAAACTAATGGAATTCAGAATATTTACATCTGGGGGTAAAATCTGGCATATAATAAGGATGCTTTGTAGGGCTACTGACACTGTTAGGAAAGAATTCAGTAGTGTCCAAAATCAACGTGGGTAGGGTTTTTAGTAAGCAAATATGGCTGTTTTGGTTTGGATCACATAGGAGTTACTCTCTCTGTCTGGGCCTGCTGTGGTGTCAAAGGCAGGTGTAGCTGCCGTTCTCCTGAGCTGTCTGCTGGCCTTGCTCCACTGCTGACTACAGCTCCCCACCATGCGGTGAGCTCTTGCTGTCGCATGCATGCTGCTGTTTCAGCACTTGCTGTTAAAATGTGTGGCACGAGCTGTGGGGAATGGCAGTTTCTTTCCAATTTGCAGATCTAAAAGAAATTTTTTTTTTATAAAAAAAAAAGCTGTTCCCTTGGCAATTCGCCACTATGTCTGTTTACTCATACACAGACCAACAGATATGTGACCCAGGGGTTTGCCTAGCAATGGTGTGTGTGGTTCTCCTGGGAACTGCAGAGCAGAGGCAGGGTTTGACCCTGACAGTGCCTGTGTTCTTGGTAGTAGGTCCTAATTCTGAAGCTGAGACGCTTAGCACAGTTGTTTGCTTAGCAATAGGGGGACTATTTGAGATGACTCCTTCTGTATGAAGAGAGTGAGGGAGAAATACATGATCATGGATAAACTAAGGCCGAAAATCACCTAATGTTGTGTAAGTGTTAGTGCTAAGCTACCTAAGAGGTGTGCATAGTGATTTCAGGTGCTCTCTGCAGCAAGGAGACCATTTGGAGTCTTTAGAGGGTAAGTGAGGCCTTTGGGTGCTCTGAAATGTCTTCTAGATATTTCCACTGATTATATAGGACAGTTGTTGTAACTGTGTGCATCTAATCTGGGCATGTAAATCAGACAATTGTCCCAAATTCTTTTGGAAGGCAACCCCCTCGTTTATGACGTCTTGTTTGTTCAACCATACATCCCAGTTTTCTATATGGACGTCCATGGAAATAGAGCTTGCTAGCAGAGATACCACTCTATTATTACTATACTGACTTTTTTTTTGTTATCTTATGCAGGAATTCCTCCTCATATTGATACGCATTCTGCTTTTGAGGATGAAATAATCTCTCTCAGTTTAGGAGCTGAGGTAAACTTAATGTTTATGTGTGTCTGGATGACGCTTTACTGAGAACTTTCATTTTTATGTTGTTTAATACGAGTAAACTTGATTTTTTTGCATGGTGTCTATTCACGCTCATCTGAGTTTGATATCAAGCATGTAAGGTAAAGTGATATGCTAATTAATTAAGTGGCTGCAATGAGATGTTGTCACTGGAAGATTTGCCAGTGATATCAGTGATACCCTATTTTTAAATCTCAGCATCCAGTTTTCCATTGACCTTCCTTTATTTTGTGTTCATCTTAGAAACCATATCACTCCTGTTCGTGTTTCTACCTCCATTTTTTCCTGTGTCATCCTCTGTTCCCTGTGCTCTGTGTAAGCCTCCCATTATTTTTATATTCAGTACCTTTACAGTAGGCTAATGTAGATGTATTACTTGTAGAAGGTCCACTCAGAGAACCCTACTGAGCTAGTTGCAGTGCAGGCAGAGGGCAGCTGATCTCATGAGCTTCCAGCATACACAGGTCATAGAATTATAGAATGGTTTGTGTTGAAAGGGACCTTATAGATCATCTGGTTCCAACCCCCACTGCTATGGCCAGGGACACCTTCTGCTAGACCAGGTTGCTCAAAACCCCATCCAACCTGGCCCTGAACACTTCCAGGGAGGGGGCATCCACAGCTTCACTGGGCAACCTGTTCCAGTGCCTCACCACTTGTACCAGCATTGTAAAGAATTTCTTCCTTTAATCTAAATCTACCCCCTTTCATTACGGTGGATGATGTAGACTAAGAGTGGGAAGGGAAATGAGAGAACGTTGGACTAGCATGAACTCATGTGTCAGGAGTAGTGCTGAAAACAGTCTCAGTGCTCTAATTACTGTCTTTACTTTTACTCTGTCTGGATTCATCTGCTGCATCTGTGCCCATGTATGTTTTGCAAATTTAGTGTTACCTGTTCTGCCTTAAGCACAACTGCAGCAAGTCTTTGCTACTTGGCCTTGCCATCTTCCTGCGCCTTTCTTGAGGGTGTGTTGAACACATCTGCGAGGCTTGCTTCCATTGGTGTCTTGGGCTTTTTGTGACAGGGGAGTTACGTGTATTGCTGTGTATTTCCATGGTACTGGATAACTAGAAGCTCAGTAAAGCTAAGAACAGGTTATCACAGTGAGTAATAGAGGTTTGACTTTTGAATCTTTCCATTGAAAAGCCATGAATGCTGTATGAGGATCATCTACTACTTGTTTTCTTTGGCAGTGGTGTGTAGATGATAGATGTGTGCTTAAGAGTTGTGCCTGTATTACTGATTATTATCTCCTATTACAAAACAACAACTTTGTTGCTCTCGGTTTGTCTTACTCTTTAGGCAGAGAGAAACGTGAATGGATATTCTGAGAACTGACGTTCTTTTGAATCTTTAGTCTGGGCTCTGGCATTGACGACTTCTTGCAAGTTGTATAGTGGATGTGGAGCTCCTGGGACTAGGGGTGAGTCTAAGGAAGGATAACCTTGTGTTCATTGACATGTGTGGCAGTGGCACATTGGTGTTATTGGTTGCTTGAAAAAGGAGTGTCAGTGTTGCCAGTCCTCTCAGCCTGCCCATGGATGTATTTGTCCACCATTCACAAAAGCCTAGAGTACAGATGTCTGGGATAAGTTGTGAGAGTGGTACGCAAAGTGGCGGTAGAATTCTTACTACTTTTGTTTTGGAATCTCCCAATCTAGGGGCTACTTACTCATGTGGCTTCTGCACTTAGCCTTGTCTCAGAGGTAGTGCGTTCTCTGTTCAACAGCACTCTTTTTCACAGTGCCAACACCTTCATGCTAGGTAGCACATGGGAATGTCGGTTTCTTTTAAGCAGTTTTTCTAGGAGCAGGGCTCTAGTTGATCTTCTGAGCAGTTTATCCATCCCAAGTTTGATTTTTTTCTTATACATGCTGTGCATTCAGAGCAGGACAGCAACAGTAGATGACCCCAGTTTACAGCTGTTCCTATGTTGGTCTTGTGAATAAAAAAAAATCAGTTTACTGCATAAAAACTCTATTGGTGCTGTAATTTTCATTTTCTGCCTCAATCTGCAGCCCCAGGCTTTCTTACCTGTTCCATTTCAATTAAATGGTCGGCTGGCACAGATGCTCTGTTACCTCATTGATGAGGCACTGCAGGCAGTGCATTTCTAGATGATTGTATTACAGCACACCTTTGCGATGGTCTCGGAGATGGCCAAAAGCAGAATGATTTTAATCACCTGAGAAATGCAAACCTTTCCGGGAAGTGGTGTGCCTGGAACATTATGATGCTGTTAATAATTGGAATGTGTACATTTCAATCGGGGAAACAGCCAGACTTGGGCCATTTCTAGGTATTTCGGGCATAGACATTCAGATACAGCCTGTTAGATAGCTTCTAAGTTTCAGTGCCTTTTCCTAATGGGCCATTAATGCACTCTTTAGGTGCAGACAATCAAAGAACACATGTAGTAAAACAAGTCAGTGGCCCATGAAATGCTGCATTATTTAATGACTTTTCTTTCTGGTACTTCTGCAACTTTTTATCACTTCTTTAATGTGTTTTTGTGCATTTAGGTCTTCATCTGGTTTTAAAATGTAAATATCAGTTGAAGTAATATGCGAGTTAGCTGTTTGAGGAATGAAGTCCCCTACTCTATTCCCATCACAGTTTACCATGTACAATATTTACACACTCTGATAATAAGTAACTGGAGTTGCATATAAAGCAGCAAACTTTGGTATCTGTCTCTTCTCTCTGTTATTGTCTCTGTAGTGTGACTATTTTTTTCACCTGAATAAATTAGGCTACAACGTAATGGAAAACATGCATAAGCGAAGTTGTATGTCTTGTCCTTTCTTTGTTCTCCTCAACAGTAAATGCACACATTTAAATAAAAAGTGCCATAAAGAAATAACCTTGCAGCCCAACTGGTTCTGTATCCTATTTTGGAAGTGGCTAATCAGCCACTTCAGAGGAATAAAAGAAAGCAGAATGCCTCATACTGAGTCATGGAAAAAGCTTTTCTTTTAATTGTTTGTTTGCTTGCCCTTCCAGGATCTGAGTTAGGCAGCTTCTAGTAACAAAAATAAATGCCTTGGCTTATGAAAAAGAACAGTGAACTAAACGCAGGTGCCTTCCTAGTCTAATGTCTTAGCCATCAGAACAGGTTCTCAAACTTCATATATTGTCTTCACAGAATCACAGAACTGTTTAGGATGGAAGGGACCTCTGTAGTCTGTAAACTTGCTGAAATGGTTTGAAGTGGTAAACTTGTCCTGTAGTCTAGCTGGATGCTAGGTGCCCACCAAAGCTGCTCTATCATTCCGCCTCCTCAACTGGACAGGGGAGGAAAAAAATACGACAAAAGGTTTGTGGGTTGAGATAAGGACAGGGAGAGATCACTTGCCAGTTACTGCCACAGGCAAAACAGACTCAGCTTGGGGAAATTATTTTAATTTATCACCAGTCAGATCGGAGTAGGATAATGAGAACTAAAACCAAATCTCAAAACACCTTCCCCCCACCTGTCCCTTCTTCCCGGGCTCCACTTCACTCCCAATTTCTCTGCCTCCTCCCCCTGAGCAGCACAGGGGGACGGGGAATGGGGTTGCAGTCAGTTCATCACACGTTGTCTCTGCTGCTCCTTCCTCCTCATGCTTTTCCCGTGGTCCAGCGTGGGGTCCCTCCCACGGGAGACAGTCCTCTACCAGCTTCTGCAACGTGAGTCCTTCCCATGGGTTGCAGCTCTTTATGAACTGCTCCAGCATGAGTCCTTTCCACAGGGTGCAGTCCTTCAGGAACAGACTGCTCCAGTGTGGGTGCCCCACAGACTCAGAAGTCCTGCCAGCTAGCCTGCTCCACCATGTGCTCCTTGGTCCACAGGTCGTGCCAGGAGCCTGCTCCAGTGCAGGCTCTCCATGGGGCCACAGTCTCCCTCAGGCACATACACCTGCTGTGGCGTGGGGTCCTCCCCTGGGCTGCAGGTAGATGTCTGCTCCACCATGGATCTGCGTGGGCTGCAGAGGTACATCCTCCCTCACCATGGTCTTCTCCACGGGCTGCAGGGGAATCTGCTCTGGTGCCCAGAGCATCTTGTCCCCCTCTTTCTGCAGTGGCCCTGATGTCTGTAGAGTTGTTTCTCTCGCATGTTCTCACTCCTGTCTCTCCCACTGCCTTTTTTTTGTTTGCCTTTCTTAACTATGTTATCCCAGAGGTGCTACCACTGTTGCTTATGGGCTTGGCCAGTGGCGGGGGGGGGTTCGGGGCGGGCTCGGCTCTGTCGGCAAGTGGGTTATGGGCTTGGCCAGTGGCGGGTCTGTCTTGGGGCCGACTTGGCTCTGTCAGACATTGGGGAAGCTTCTGACACCTTCTCACAGAAGCCACCCCTGCAGTCCCCCTGCTACCAAAACCCTGCTATGCAAACCCACAACAGGGTGTACACTGCCCCGTCAATCAAAGTAATTAATGAAGATGTTAAACATATTATCATCAGTATCGACCCCTAGGGTACTCCACTAGTGACATATCTCCAACTGCATTTTGTGCCACTGCCATCTTCAGTGATACCTTGCAACCTAAATCATGTATTGAGAATCAGTCTTTTCCTCAGTGGTGGATGAGTTCATCCAGTAACAAAACTCTTTGTACTATTTTGTTAGAGCAATGATTATGTCTGATGTGTTTCTGCAAACTTAATTTATGTTAAAAAAGCAATAGCTATTGACATGTAGCATATATGTTCATTTTAAATATGAACAATGTTCAGAAGAAAATAAGGGCATTTGTCTTGCATCAGGTAACCCACAGCAATCCAAGTTCTTATGCTTGGGTGAAATAAGGCGGAAGTGTAGGTGTGAGATTCTCTACCCTGTCTCAGTCACATGGAACAGCTTTGTCAAGAGGCATAGAGAAGCCAAGTGGCTCAATTTTGTTGTAGTTTGTGCCATACGTTGTGTTTTAGAGAGTTTACAAGACACATGAAACTTGATTTGAAGGAGAAGAATCTCACTAT